CCTCCGCTCGCACCGCCCGGCCTCCGCTTGCCCTCCGCTCGCACCGCCCGGCCTCCGCTGGCTTCTTAACATTATATCGGCGTATAACACGCATACATCATTTGCCCCCTATTTTCAGGGGGAAAAAAGTGCGTGTTATACGCCGATAAATACGGTATCTATCTGTCTGTGTGTATGTACATGTACAGTGAATGTACAACATATATACAGTTAATGTACAATTTTAATGCAGTAAGTTAGTCAAAGTAAAACAGAAAATATATAAAGCTATCAAACAGCTATAGGGTCTCCTGCTTGAGCAGGGAGTTGGACTAGAAGCCTCCAAGATCTCCCTTCCAACCTATTATTCTATGTTTTAGTAATATGATTTCAAGTTCTCATTTATATTACTCATTGATTCTTGGCACAAGTTTCTTTGCAGCCACTCTCAGACATCCCAATGGCTTAAATTTGTATGAGGCAACTTCTTATTTTTACTACAATTACCGGTACAAGAATTCTGGTAATCTGCCTTACTCATCCCATAACCTCTAAGATGGTCATTTCTTTATTTCATCTGAAAACTGCGAGCAATATCTGAGACAATTACCTTTCCCTTTAATATGCCAATTTTTTCCCTGGAAAGAAAGTATATTCATATGCAATCTGTATTTTCAAAAGTACAATTAAAAAAAAATCAAATTTCTGGACCTAGCTTTCTTAGCGCAAAGGAAAGACTTCCTTCTGTTAATCATCATGACAAAAGCCAGTCAAACCCTTTACAAATCTGTTGTCTCAATAAAAAAGCTGTAGATGTGCTAAAATTTTATACCATATTGTTAAACTGTCTGAAGAGCAATAAAAGAGAATGCTTTCAGTCATTTCAGATCTGGCCCAAATTCCCCTATCTCGTATAAACAAAATAAACTCCCAATCAAATCTGATAAATGTTTTTAAAGCAGTATTTTTAGAGAGGCATCGAAGATTTGTTATATGACCAAAGCAAGAAAAAGAGATTCAAACCCATGCTTTTTCAACAAAAGTGGATATCCTATACAAGTAATTTGTCAAAAGAAAATATACATCATTTTAAATGCAAGAAAGGAATACATTAATTGAAATTGGAGATGCTTCACCAGAAAGTGTCAGAAAACAATGCCTACAGCTGAAATACAGAGTAGACAATATCAAGAAATAGAAAAAAAAGTATCTACTAAAAGATATTGCAATATTTTGTGTTAAAAGCGATTTTGAAGGTTCCGAAAAATAAAATACTTGGCAGTTGAATTATTTTCTGACCTTCCCATAGCCTCTATCTTGGCATCTTAATGCTTATTAAATGCAAAGTAATAAATAGATCATCTGTGAGAATGTTATGATTATTGTTAGATTAAAAAAAACATTGCCAACTATTTGTTTGAAAAGCCAGGAATCACAAAAGAGTCATTGCAACTCTGTGTCGATTGAATAGGCAAAAGCATGCCCTTGAACTCATTTCTCTATTCTGATAGTGATTCCAAGACATTATGATTCCAGGAATCATGATCAGAAATAAATCAGGATTTATATCAGGACAGCAAACCAAGCTGTACAGCAGCAGTGATATTCAGTGCAAGACGCCAGAGGAATTTGCTTACCCAATCCAACAGAACTATTAAATTGCTAACACAATTAACTGCAGAGGAGAACCAAAGTGTTTTTGTACCTGCAGGCAAGATGTATCTAGTCTAGGCCTCCTCACACTGGACTAACACACTTTATAAGCGATTGTGTAATTTTTTTCCTGGCAAAGTACTTAAATAACATTAAATAAGCCAAATAAATAGCAAAGACCCATAAAAATCCATTAAAGAATAGGCTGCACACAGCTCAGCTACGTGGGATGGGAGAGGTACATGTGACGTAAGAATTAAAAGCTAAAATAACTACTCATTAAAGTGTCAAGTATGGTTGAAAAGGGAATAACTGTCAAAGAATTCCTGAAGCAAAAAATAACTTGGGTGAAACCACTTTTCAACTTTGGGATGATGGCCAAAAAAAGAGGGTGTGGACGCATTATTCTCTCCCCCACCCCCAGTCTTAACTCAAGAAATAATAGGAAACACGTAGTGCAGGAACCATTAACAAAGACAAAGTTGGAAGTCTTTCAAAGGACATCAAACTCCATCTTTGCTAATGCAGATAACTTACTACTGCAGATTATTTTGAAGTTGCAACATTATTATATTTTTATCCCATCTATTCATCTATCTAGGCAATGTACATACTTAATAGCTCTTCCTGGTGCCTCTTATTTTCTCTACAACACCATCACTGTGAAGTCACGCAGCCAGCTTTCAAGACTAAGGCGGGGACTCTGATCCAAGACTCTTGGTTTCTAGGCCAGCAGCTTAATCACGATGCCAAACTGGCTCTAACATCTCTACAAGGCACACTTCCAGCTTCCATTTAAAAGTCTACTGTATATTTTTTTTAAAAAACACTATCTTTACAGACTACACAATTTGCCTACCTAGCATCTAATTAAAGTTGCCTTTTTAATTTTAATCCAACTGGCTTGTGAAGTATTATCTAGAACTGAGAACACCCTTTGTTCTATCTACTCTGCAAAATAGGTATTTCATTTAAAACTTTCTACAGTAGTTTTGTATTTTCCTTTTATTGTCTCTTTTCTATATAGTGGAAAGATCAGGAGGGGGAAAAGAGAAAGGATGAGTGTAATGCCATCTATAAAACCATGCCAGAGTAAAGTGAGCCACAGAACACAAATGTCTCAAAGCAAGCTACTAGTATTCTAATGTGAACAGCTTCATAAAGTGACAAACAAGAGGATAAGGAGGGGGAAAGAGTACAATCAGAAAACACTGCCCTGGAAGAGGAAAAAGTGGGAAGTGAAAACAAATACGGCTTTTCATAATGGATATTGGAGCCCCTGTAGATTGTTCATGTATGGGATTAAAGTGATAATCCAAAATCAATTAAACCTCAAAGAAACTTGGAATTCCCATAAGAAAGGACATTCAGGAAGATGTAGATCCCAGATTAGAAGGGTCTTCAGTTGATCCAGGAGAGCTCTTGGTCCACCTTCCTTAAAACCTTCTGAGATAGCCTGAAATTTCATGTCCTGCTAGTCCTAAGCAACTGACCAACCTATTTCCCCCCACTTAAGATGTTGTGATTATTGATCCTTCAAGCAGGCTGACTCTCAAGTGCATTGAGACGCTCAACCCAAGTATGACTTTTGCACATTATTACATTGTATATTATTATTTCAAGTTTTTATCTTTTTTATAGCCTATAAAAATTCCAATTTCAAATGGACCAAGCAGGTTGTCTGGGGGTACAAATATTTTTAGACTATAAATCATATACCATATTAACTGGATTATTATTAAACCGTGTTGTTTTTGATTACCAGTAACCCTGTAGATCCCCCCCTCCCAATAATTGTATCAGTTATACCATTCAAAATTTTGGAAAAGATCTTTTTTAAAAAAAGATCTATAAATAATATACCATATTAAATGGCATATTATTAAACCAAGTTGTTTTTGATTACCAGCAACCCTGTAGATTTCTCTGCCCCCAATAATTATATCAGTTATACCAAAAAAAATTTAAAAAACCACACACATTATGTCTCCCTTGGACACATTTAGAAAAATTCCCTAAATTAAAGTACCCTTGAAATAAAATAGAGGGTGGGTGGTGGGTGGGAGGCAGGTTAGGAGAGTGGATTAAAAAAAAGCCAGAAGGTCTCCCCCCCCCCCCCCCGCATACAGTGAGTGAAGGGACCAACCCCCCCCCACTCCCCAGTTCCATTTCACACGTGACGTGTCCTTCACGGGTCAGTTACATTCCCCCTCTCTCTCCTCTCCCCCCAACCTACCTCACAGGGTTGTCGTGAAGGTAAAATCAGCCGCCTCCCCCCTCCCTCATGGAGGTGCCTAGAGCTCTCCGAGCAAGCAGCGTCCTCCTCCCCAACCCAAGGCGGGATGCAAATGGAAGAGAGAAAACTGCAGGCAGGGAGATGTCAAGGCAAGGCATCCCAACCGGCTGGCTGAGGCATGCTGGGAGTTGTAGTCCAGCCCCTCTGGGGGAACGCCAGAGAAAAAGAGCGAAGGGATAATTGCAGCCGCATCCACGGGAGTCGAAATGGAGGGGGGGGCTCGAGGATGCATCCGGATCTCGAGCCGGCGGACGGATGGGCACCCGCCCTACCTCGCGGCTCCGCTTTTGGCCTCACCTGTGCGGTCCCGACGCCGGCGCTCCCGCCGATTCCCGGCCAGATAACGACTCCCATCAAGACGTTTCCCCCCGCCCTTCAGGCACGACCTTTCACACACCTCACGCCGCCGCCGCCGGAGGCTCCTCCCACTCGCGGGCCGCCGCCTTGGTTACTCCATTGGCGGCGGCGCCTGCCACTCTCCGCCTCCAAGCGACACGGGATTGGCTCTCGGATGCTGGGTGCGACGAATATTTAAAAAAAAAATTGGGTGAAGGAGGCGCGGGGAAAGAAGGCGGACTTTCCAAGCTGCGAGGGGCGGTGCCGCTCGCTGCCCCGCCCCGCCCCTCTGGGAGAAGAGGCGAGCGAGCTATTGGGGCCTTGTGACGCAATTGGTGGAGCGTGAGTGACGGCGGGGAGGGGAAGGAGGAGGCGGGGTCTGAGGAGGAAACCGGGGCGGGGTTACGTCATGAGCAGCGAAGACTGTGCCTCAACTCGCCGCTTCTGGTTGCCATTTTGAGTTTACCATCTGGGTGAAGCAACAAAGGCTTGTGGCGTGTAGAAGCGCTCTGCTTAGATCAAAATCCAGTTTATTCCCCCAAAAAGTTTGGTTATTTGGGTAGCAGCAAACTTAATCCAAGTATTTGCTAGTTGCTCCATTTGCTGCCATTCCAATACATCTTTGTATGAAATGACCTGGGAGAAAAGCAAGGTTTTACACTTAGGCAGGAAAAAACAAAGGGAGAAGGACAGGTTAGAAAAGGGTCTTCAAACTTGGCAAGCTAGGCCCAGCCCGGTCAGCGTGCTTCTCTGTCGCCCGTGAGCCTGGGGAACCTGCAGCTCAAAGCCGCCGCTAGCCACAGCACCATGTACCCCGGGAACAAGCAGAAAAAGCTCTGGCGGGAGGAGAAAGAACGTTTGTTGAAGGTGACATTGGAACAGAGACGTAAAGAATATTTACGGGATTATGTACCCTTGAAAGATATTCCAACGTGGAAGGAAGAAATGAAAAACAAAGCCCAAAGTGATGAAGACAACACCAATGACGCTTTCTTGATGCAGAAAAGTCTTAGTGAAAAAGTCTCCCTATACAGAGGCGATATCACAGTGCTTGAGATTGATGCCATAGTTAATGCTGCGAATTCAAGTCTTCTTGGAGGAGGTGGTATGGATGGATGTATACACAGAGCTGCTGGTCCTTGTCTAGTTGCTGAATGCCGCAGTCTGAGTGACTGTGAAACTGGACAAGCCAAAAATCACGTGTGGTTATGACCTACCAGCAAAATATGTCATTCACACTGTGGGCCCTATAGCTCGAGGGCATATTAGTAATATCCATAAAGAAGATCTGGCAAATTGCTATAAAACCTCCTTGAAACTGGCAAAAGAGAAACTCATCAGATCAATTGCTTTTCCATGTATCTCAACAGGCATTTATGGTTTTCCAAATGAGCCAGCTGCAGTCATTGCACTTACTACAGTCAAGGAGTGGTTAAGCAAGAATGAGAATGAGAAAATAATCTTCTCAGTGAGTTTGCACAATCAATAGATGGCCCTGAAGCTTTATCAATGTGTGAACCTACTATGGCCTCCTCATGATGGTATCTTGTAAAATTAACATAATTATTTTATCTTCATGATATGTTTGTTTATTGCCCCGCTTAATAAATCAATTCAGTCTTAACTAAAAAAAAAAAACTTGGCAAGCTTAAGACTTGTGGAGTTCCAGACATCATTTATCCTATCTATATCCTATCATCTGTCTCTCTAATCAATATCTATAGCTATCTGTTAATCATCTATATCAAGGGTCTTAGTGCTGTCCCAGCCAGTCTATGGGAATTGGATAGTTACTTAGGAATTATGAGCTGTCCCCTTAAGGGAATGCATCCTGGGAAATGTAGTTCATGTCACGTGGCCACATCTGTAATCCCGATTGGTCACTAATTTGACCCTTGATGGGTTGGGGGGAGTTTCCCTCACTTTTGCTTGAACTCCCTAACTCATGGGAGCTGCTTTCTATCGCTACGAGATGGGTTAGGAGATAACCATCTTTTACTACAAGGCAGATATACAAAGGATTGGTCATTAAAGAAGAACTTCATCACAAACGTGAGTTATGAGGATACCTGATGAACCAATAAATGTAATTTGTTATGGACGTCTTGTTGAGTTATCTATCTGCATCTGTACAGCATTTGCATAACAAGGAGAGTCAGATATTTCCCAGCTCTCAAAGGAAAACCAAATCTCTGTCTTTAAACCTTCTACAAATGCAGTGAGAGACTCTGAGAAATCATGCCTGTATGTTTGTTGGTAAAACAAAGCTGATCTTCCTCTGCTCCTCTGACAAAGCAATAAAAAGGCCACAGTTGTAAACATTCCTTTTGTGCCAGAGCCGTCTCCACAGCAATGGGCACATTCCTTCCCCCTGAAGAGAGACACTTAATCTAGCAATGATTTAAACAAAGTCAGCATCTTGCCTTTTGCTATGATTTTTTTTTACAAAATCTCTCAAGATTGACCAGAGTGTTTATCCATTGATGACCCCTTTTTGCAATTCTTGTGGACAATTTAATCAATTTAATTCAAATGTTCCAAGATTAACTGCAACCTAATAGACTCAAGTAAAGCAGCCTATATCCCTATCTGGTGGTCAAGAAGAAATTTACAGTGAAGTCAAATAATTCTTCCTATTTTTTCCTTTTTTTCAAGAGTAGGCAGGAAATTCTCCCCCCTCTTTTTTCTTCCACAAAGTGAGACCTAAGCAACGCAGCCCACAGCTACATCTGGGGCTCAAGGAGAAATTTCCCAGACTTTGATTTTTTTTACACAGTTTCTCAAATATTGACCAGAGTGTTTCTCCAATGATAACCCCTTTTTGCAACTATTGTGCACCATTTAATCAACTTAATTCAAAGGTCCTACGAGTAACTGCAACCTAACATAGGCATAGCAACAGCGTCTTCCAGACCCTCTGCTGCTACCTTGTGAAGCAAGCAACAATTATAGGCATATTTCTGCGTTCAGCCCTCTATCTTCAGACTTTGTGACACAACCTCTAGTGCCCCCTTCGGTTGCAAGCTCACAACGCACCCTAGAAGCAGCCATATTGTGTGTTGTGCTAGCATTGCCCAGACTCTGCAGTGCCACCTACATGCTCAAGTATTAAATCCAGCAGCAATTCTACTTTCTGCTACCTGCTTGCAGCGCCCCCAGTACAAAAAGGGGAATTGCATGGAAAACCACTAAAATTTTCCAAATTTCTCCCTTTGCCAATATGAAGCATGGCAACTTCATCAGCCATGACAGATGTCTCTGATGTACCAGAAGACCCAATTCCTCCACCCACCCTTGTTGTAAACATGGAGCCTGATTCCCAAAACCCAGTTTTAGATGTCCAGCTCTCTGGAGAAGCTGCAATACCTCAGAAGGCCTACGACCTCAGACAGCATAGGAAGCTTACCTCATCCACAGTGACACGCTTCAGAGAGGATTGGGAAAGGCAGTATCACCATCATGCAGATGCATGGACAGAGCTGGTCAAGATCTGTGACACCCCCAAAAGCAAGTTGCCCCTCGAGAGCCTCTTCCTGATGCAGAAGGAACACCTCGCACGATGGAGAGAGAGTGAAAATAAGCTTAAATATATACAATCGAACCTGGAAGACCAGAGTTCCAAGAACACATTCATTGCTTCGAGGAGGCAAACAAAGAACGTGAAGACAGCGTTCAGGAAGGCAGAAACTCCCTCCAGGCCATGCTCCTTGCTGCGCTACAGAAGGAGCAAATACCTAGGGAGAAGACCACATCCGACAGAGATCTTCAATCACAACCAGCTTTTTCCCACCACTCAAAGAAAGCCTTCTCCCTCCATCCCAAACCTGCTAGATCACAAGCAGCTTCCAGTGTCTTGCACCAATCCTCTGCTGCCGGCTCTCACCATCTTTCCAGAGCATCCTCCTGTTGCAGTGGCGCATCTAAGGCCTCCAAAGCAGCAAGTTACGCCGAAAGAGCTGTAGAAGCCCAAGTTGAAGCTGCAGCAGCAGAGGCAGATTTATGTATTACGACAGAGGTGATACGGCAGAAAGCAGAAATGGCCAAACAACAAGCAGAAATGGCCAAACAACAGGCAGAAATAGCCAAAACTCAGGCCCAAGTCAAGTTACTCAAACGAAAGAGATGGCAGTGAAAACAGCACGGGCTGCAGCATGGCAGAAGGCGGCCAATGCTGCCTCCCTCAACTTTGACCTCGAAGACTTGGGAGAAGAGAGCCAAGATACACGGGTCAAGGCCTGCGTGGATGAGCAGCACTCGCTTCTAAATGAGCAAATGGAACCGCCTCAGTTACCTAGCAGTCTCCCAAAACCAGGGAAGCACTGGGATGAATCTCAACCACAGACTTTACACATCAGTTACGCATCTGACGTTGTACGACCTAAAGTATGAGATTCACTTCCTACCAACAGCAAACCTTCCCCAACTGATGTTGTATGTACTAAGGTCCGAGATTCTCTTCCCAGCACCAGCAACCCTACTACAATGTCTCACTCCCTGTTGGCTGAGCAACTTAGCCCACCAGTGCTTACAACAACTTCTCGACGAGTCGACATGCCTTCAACGACAACTGCCACACTCAGTCCACAGGCAGCAGCATTCCTGCCACAACCTCAATACCAATCCGGCTCCCAGGCACCACAAGGTAACTGCGCCCAGCCTACACATCAGCGTGACGCTCGACCATCGTCCCCAGTATGGGAGAACGACATCTTCCATAAGTACTAGGAGGAAGACTACAACCCGTTGTTGACTTACAACCTGAACCCACCCTACGAGAATCCAGGGGGAGAACCCTCTATGTCAATACCTCCCCCCAACTCAGCAAACTTGGCTGTACAGAGTGGAAAGCTAAATTTGCATGCCAACAGAGTTTGCAGATTCTCTGACAAGCCAGGCAGCGAGTATCTAGTATGGAAGAAACTCTTCCTGTGCCCCGTTCAGGTGGCACGCCTGAACCCTGATGAAATAATCGGACACTTGATAGCGTGGTTAGGACCACAGTCTGCTGACATACCGAGGGCACTTTTGGCATCCCACTTAGACGACCCAGCCAGTGCCCTACGGTTA